CAGGATTCGAACTCATGCTGAGGCAGCTGCCAAACTCCATGCCCTACACACCTTGTGTTATCCATGCCTTGCCATAATGGCCACTCCCTGCCTCAGTTTCCCCACCTGTGAGTGGTCCCAGTTCCAGGGCTGTTCAGGCTCTGACATGATGATAAAGCAGACACTACCTCACGCCCCAGGCTGGTTATTATTACTGGAGCAAGATGCCGAAGCAGTCGCTGTTATCACTGGGTGCCACGCAGTCAGCCTCTGACTCGTGGTCGCCCCGTGTGATGGAGCAGAGCTGCCCCATGGGCCATCCCAGCCTGTAATCTTCATGAGACTAGACCACAGGGTTTTTCTCCCTCAGAGCTGCTCGGTGGATTTGAACTGCCAACCTTTCAGTTAACAGACGAGTGCTTAACTATCCCAAGTGCCACCAGGGCTCCATGTCATAGGTGGAACTATGTTCACACAGCTCACACAGCGGTTCTAGCGGGGTGGGTTTTTTTTTTTCTGAAGACGTGTGTGATTGTCACAACTAGGGGATATGCCAGGGCCCTATGGCATTGAGTGGGTAGAAACCAGGGATGCTGCTCAACACCCCACAGGGCACAGGATACCCTACCCCAGAGGAGGGTCTGGCCCCATGTCAGCAGTGCTGAGGGGGACAGATCCTCTGTTAATTATTTGGGAAAAAACTGAATTCACTCCCTGCCTACACCATGCAACAGAAGAAACCCCTGATGGGTCAGACGGTGTAAACCAGGGGCCCCTCCAGCTCCCGGGACTCCCCTCCTCTCTCCTCCCCACTCAGTGTGAGGATTAAATGTGGGCAGTGTCCTAGGACGTCAGGAGGTTAGAAGACTGTGGGACGGGAGTCTCTCGAGGATCAGTGAATCCCCTAACCCTGGGGTCCTCACCTGGGTGAGTCTGTCCCCAGGGGACACTGGGTGATGTCTGGGGACATCTGTGGGTGTGATGACTGGGGGGAGTGTGACTGGGATTTAGAGGGTGGAGGCCAAGGATGTTGCCCAGCACCCTACAGTGCACAGGACGCCCCCACAGAGAAGTGCTAAGCACCTCGTGGCAGCAGTGCTAAGAGAGCCCACGCGTTGACCGAACGAAGGAACGGAAAAATAAAGATGTGCGGCACCGTCAGCCACCATTGGCCTTGCAGGGAACAGGGTTCAGGAACGCACAGGTCCCGCAGGGTGGCCAAACAGACCCTGCCCAGCCCTAGCTGGCCTCTGGCCCAGGGGCAGCGTGGTGTGGCGGTCGGGAACCCAGACTCTGGAGCCAGCTGAGAAGCCTGGACCGCTCCCTGCCTGTGACTGAACCTCACTCTGTCTCAGTTTCCCTGTTTGTAGGACTGTAATGCTGATGACGGTCCTCGCCTAATGGGGCTGTGGCAACATTTATATTTTTTAAAAAAACAAAACTCAATTATTCAGCTCTCAGGAGAAACGAAGTCCTTGGTGGAACCCCTGAGACTATGGCCCCTAGTTGCCCTTCAGGTCTGGAATTGAATCCATTTGTGTGGCTTCCAGCCAAACAAAAGACAAGCATATGAAATGAACATTTACATTAGGTAGATACACTCCTTAGAGAGATCACTCATGGGAGAATAGAAGGGCAGTGTTTGCACAGGAAGACAGCTTGGTGGGGGGGCAGGAGAGCATGGAAGGAAGGACACAGGGAAGAGGTAAAGGGAGGAAGTGGGAGGGGAGCTGTTGCATTGTGGGAAATTGCAGTCAATGTCACTGAGACAAAGTGTATGTGAGCTACTGTACGGAAAGTGAATTTCCTATGTAAACTTCCACCCAAATCACAATAAAAATTTTAAAAAGAGAGAGAGAAGTGAAATCCTGATACCTGTAATCCTGTGGATGAACCCTGAAGACAACACGCTGTGTGAAAGCAGACAGACACTAAAGCACTTACAAGGGGCCATTCACACAAAA